CACGACGCTTCGTAAAAAGAATGCAATTGTTAATCGGACAACGTGAACCTAGTGTCACGTCTCCGCCCAAAGTAGCGCGAGAGCTGACGTAATAAGTAGAAATGAGCGATTGCGAGCAGACATTGTTGTTTGGTAGATTTTTTCCACTGCTGATCGCAGGAATTCTTTAATGGTATATAAGCGGGTACTGATTAAATCGGGTACTAATTTGGTCGTAATCGTTGATTACGACCAAAACCGAGACAAACCGCAATGCGTCAATTGTGTAACGAGAATTAAGTATCGATTTCATAAACACCAATCATAATCGAATAACGAGCAACCGGATGATTAAACAGATGAAAATACACCGAGCTTCGATATCGGATATCTTTAATCTTATCTGCTGCAGAATTTTGCTTATCATTGCCCGATCTATCGATGCTAAGACATGCCTGTTTGGTTTTCGAAGCGGGACGCTGATGCATCCAGTTAGTAGCGTAATTGTCGCTGAGCGGCTATTAATAATTTATGGAATAACAACCAGCACGAAGGGTAACCCAACCGTTTTGAATTCCAGTTCGCATTATCGAGATATCTACCGTTTTTGCGACGACCTTTTGCACAAGTTATCGAGCGCGACCAGACGTAGAATAAGGTATAGTTATGCAAGTTACACAAAGTAACGCAAACTAACGCGATACATGTAAAAAAGCATCGAGATCACCGCAAGGCGAGGGTGATGTCATGCATTAAATTCAAAAAAGGAAACGTTTGCGGCAGAGAAAAAGAACGGAACAACGATAGAGAAAACGAAAGAGACAAACTACGGACCGTGGTTTACGTTGCCCTGTGTCCTTGACATCGATATGGTGTACCGATGGCTTGCAAAAATGGTGCAGCTAAGATCTTCCATAACGAGACGCATTGTGATTCAATTGCGAAGAGATATGAAACAAGTGACGCGGAAATATCGTCGACACGAATATTCTTTACAATTCTGTTTCATTACTCTAAAAATACTTTTATCAACGCATGCACTCGAGATTCGAGACCTTTGGTTATTGTATTCTACCAAGTTTAATTCGTGTATCGACCTAATCTTAAAGTTCTCTATGAATTTAAATTTTAATATACTTTTAGTAACGTGACCTAGATCCTGTTACGGAACTTGGATTTTATCGCCTTAAAGCTCGGTTCAAATTTTAACTACGTTAAATGCCATCGAATAAATTGAAAAATAAAACCAGCGGAATTAACTGGACTTCGAGAAAAACCCAAATACAGCCGCAGAATAAGAAACTTTGGTCCAGATCGATAGGTAGTATCCTGGCGAAATAGGGAGGCTCGTCACGTAGCAGGCTTCCTGCCAAAATTACGACAATAGGGGGTTCGGTGAAAATTAAAAACGAACGGCAAGCTGCATGCCTTAATCACGGCATCTTCATTAAGAAGACAGAGAGTTTGGAGTGGAAATACTTGAAACACGGTATATACTTCCTATTCCTTCGAGACGTGCCTCGAGACCTTTTGACAATTATTGGAATAGACCTTTGTCGATTTTTCCTTCATTAACTCCTATCGACTATCGAGGTAATGGAGTTCTCGCATCCTTTTAAGTCAAGCTACATTCTATTCAAATTTTCGAGTGATCGATAGGGATATTTTTAGCGTCCAATATTCCAGAGAAAAGTTAAACGTAGAAATTATATCTGTCTCTGAGGTAGAAATTAGTTTCTCTTTCCCCGTTTTCCATTTCACGTGTTACATTGATATTGTTGAGCTAATAGCGGCCCTTCAGCAACAAGTGGTACTAGACAATGATGCGCGAATGGTTAATGCTTCGGTTCTATTTTTAAAATGCAAATCTCCCTACTTATCGATACGGAACTCGAGTCACGATACTGAAAACTCGTTCAACGATGCATATAGATCCGAAACTTTTCGTGTCTTCGTTTCCATCCGGTGTCTCGACTAAACTCCACGCTCTACACTAGCGCCAATGAGATTTTCTCTCGTACGCTGACCAGCTATGGTGGCTGGCTAGCTATGAGAAAAAGCCGAGAGGAACAGAGCAACAACGCGTACAACAATAAAAACCTACTCTAAATATAGAAATGAACGGGTAACTATACGTATAAATATGCGTGTCTAGCATGCTTATTCGTACATAACACGCGGAGAAATGTACCGTGCGTGGTGTACAAGGGATTCGTGGCTCATGCATTATGAACGAAGCTGAATTTTAACCGCAAACAACGACTTGGTCAATTGCACGCCGTTTATCACTCCGGAGGGCAGCTTTCCTCCGTTCCTTCATGCAGCTCAGACCTCAGGATGACGTAAGCTTATTGACCGGTGAAATTTGGCTAGTGTCAATTTTTCAGTGTTCACGTACTCTGACGTCATCCCGTGCCGATTTCCATCTACCAAGTCGAACCGATCTTTTGACCAACGCCTATACGTCCACCTGTCTCTGTTTGCTCCAAGGAGGACCATTCTACAGGCTCATTATCCTTGTGATATTCCCACGAGATAAACTCGCTCGTAGAAACTCGCCCGGAAATGGTAAGAAAGAATCAAGGAATTTGACTTCGCAACTTTCCCTCGTGTGCCTGTTAATGAGAAAGAATACTCGTGTAACATGTGAAACAAAAATTCCTTTGCTTAAGTACTTCATACATAACTTCTCTTCGCATCGTTCATATTCATTCATCACATTCTTCGGACGTGAAAAGAAACATTTCAAATACGCTATACCTAGTGTTCCTTCTACTGCGTCGTGACTGGAGAACAACAAAGATGATTAGATACTCGGACTCGTGATCGTCGAGAATATCCTGGCCTGATTGTCTTTATTAGGGAACGATTGTACTCACGTACAAATGGATTCGACGAAACTGCCTACGACTATAGGTTTCGATGGCTTCGACTCCTTTAACGGTATGCCAATCCGCTGCGTATTTTCGTGTTCCCCCTTTCAGAAATCCACCTCGTATCCAACGTCTCTTTATCTATTACCAGAGAACATTTAACTGAGCCCAATGGCTTCGACTAAACGCTGATCGTTCAGTCACATACTCCGTGACACACTGCACCAGAGGACACCTTACGTACATGGTGTGAAAGTTTTTCCCTTATACGTTCCTCCGGCAGAACCAGCCCGAGTTTTGTGGAATCTCGACGAAGAGCGAACTCGTTGCAAATAATCGTTTTCATTTAGACCATATGATGCAGAGCAACGGTTATTGGCTCGAGTAATCGAGTATAACAGGTTGCAACGTTAGAAACATTATGTAAACTACCTACAGTTTATTCAGTTTCGACCAACTTGAGAGAAATTGTTTCTAATATAAAATACAGCCAGTGGGTGGGCCTAAAATGATACATATAAAATTACTTCAGAGAATAGAAAAGTACTAAAACGACAGTCGAAACGTGTAAATGACTGTATTAAATGAATAACAGAATAATATGAAATAAAATAAAAATAAATATATGTGTTATCCGTTGACCGAAGTGGTCAATTGCTTGATATGTTATTCACTTTTGGCAAACTTGAAGAAACTGTTCCTAATACAAAGTACAACCAGTGGAGGTCCTAAAATGATACATACAGAGTTAATTTTGAGAATAAAAAAGTTCTAAAACTTAGTAGTCGAAATGTGTAAATGATTGTGTTAAATGCATAAAAAAGTAATATAAAATAAAATAAACAAGTATTTGAATTATCTCTTAAAGTGGTTAATTGCTGGATGCAGTAATGGTAGATATGAATTGAGAAATACAGTTGACTCGTTTTCCAGGCACGGAGTAGCAGAGGAAGGCATCGGTTTCGGCAGATGAAAATTGCTAACGACGGCACATGTAAATTAGGCTGGTAGATCTCCCAACAGAAGATTGAGCAATTGAAAGGTCGTGCGGACGAATCTTTCGTAAGATCCTTATCTAAAGTGAGCCTGGTGTAACACCTGCCCTCTTCCATAGTGTCTAAAAACGGCGAAAAGCTTTTTCCTTTTCTTTCTCTTCCTCCACTGGCCGAGCGTAAATTCGAATTTGATTTACAAATCAATCACGTTGCTGTCGCGGGTAGCATCGTCCATTCCCGAGTATCGAGCGTAGAAAGTTTCGAGTGCACGCGGCAGATATAGGTCGACGAAAATAAAATGTACACAAATATGTTTTTAGTCTGAGAAAAGATTATAAATACCGTTGATTATGGTATCCATTGATTCCGATATTTTTTTCGACATATGCGTGTGATTACGTAAATTCTATGCATCGTTTAAAGGATATTTGGCAATTAACGTTTTTAGGTTCTGACGCATAGGTATAATGAAATTCAATAAATGAGCACCTCTGTTTGGTACGCACACAATCTAGTCGTTTTGTCACCCGGCACACCCCGCCGCAATTTCGATGAACCTTTAAGTCACCCTTTCATAAAAGAAATTAATTACTTTTTATTATTTCGTTATGCACAATGGAAAGATTTGGTAGGATATAAATATCTGAATATTGGTATGAATGAATTACTAGGGATAATACGTAAAAGGCTAGTAGTTCTTTTGCATGGTCTTGTTTACATAATAAACGATAGATATTAGTCGTTAGTATTAAAAATTGTATGGAACAAATATTTAGACGTAAAAAAGTACTACTTGATAATAAAATTCGACGATGACTATTCGAGCAGTTGCTTTATATTTGGAATCCAGAAACGGTGAAAGAGTATGATATACTTTCTTTTGTAAATCAGCTAAACGCGAAAGTAGAGGATCGTAAAAGTTCCCGGGAAATTTCAATAATATTAGAGTCTGAGAGAAAATATTAGACGAAGATAGTCGTTACCTTGGGGTTGCCGTTGCCTAGCCATGGTATGATGTTGTCGATAAACTGTCCGATGTCTTGACATTCGATACTCTTTGTCGCATCTCCCAAATAATTCAACAGCAAACTACCAACGTTTAACTTTTTCTTGATGTCCGTCGTTGACAGGAGCGGCATAAAACCGTCCATATCACGCGGATTCACCGCCATAGTGGCTAACACGCACGTCGTCTCCACACCTTCGCGAGTCTTTGAACGAAACTAGATTTCACTCGTGCACGTCAAAGCACATAGCTCGTCGTGGTTTCACGATGCACGAAAACTAAACACGCGTCTTTCGTCATGCCAACGACGTTTCTCACCAAGAACGCGGTTATCGGCGAAACAAAACTGTCCGTGCGGTTTAAAAGCCATACGCAAAACAGTACTTCTTCCCTGCTTGTCTCACAATCGTTGTCGCGCGAGTTATTCCAGGATTATGATGCCGCTCGAGTGATGTTATTCCACAGTTCCTTATGTAGAATTTCGTTCAGCATTACACGTTTAAACAGCAAACACCGATTGCATTTTAGTTTTATTATGCACGAAAAATAATAACGAACATTTAACGTAACGAAAATTATCGGCACCGTGCACGCGACGCCATTTTGATTTCTTAATCGTCTATCTCTCTTCCTCCTAGACGATCACAACGCCAATAGTTTGAGCGGATATCGTAGTAACTAACCGTTGTTCGTCATTTTTAAATTTTCACAAATATTTTTGCATTTATGGTATTTTAAACACTGGTAAGTATGTCATAATTGTTAATATTAATTAATTATCCTTGAAAATTTTTCAAAATCTGTACGCCAAATATTCAACTTTACGAATAAGTTGTGTATTTTCGTTTATTTATTCGCTGTTCACGAATCAACTTGTTCAAAGATATCTTTTCAAATTTAGCTTTTGCTGCTATAACTTAAATTTCAATTTTCAAATACTTAAATACTGCAATATTTAAATATTAGAAAATATTAACATTTCTAAGTTTTAGACTGATATTAATAAATTCGTTTTCCTTAAAAATAAAAATAAAAATAAAAATACATTAAGGATGGAGTACTGAATATACGAAGGACACACCATACTCGCATTATCTACTTATGTATTTCTGCAATCTTATTTTAATGAAGATGATGATATATACATAGTTACAATCACATATACAATATTATATATTTACAATCGTCAATAATTATGCACTTGCAATTATATGCAACGTCATCATCGTCACACATTAGCCAAGAAAATATCTAGTAAAATATTTAGGAGCATGACCATTTTCGACTTGCATCGAAGATAACTATATGATTATGTCAAATTTCGACGGCAATGGTTTCAAATTTCAATATAATTTACTTATAAGATGTAGTTGACGAATTGCACACGATTTGTTCAATAATATGGTTTATACAAAATTACATAATCATAACTAGTATATCACAATAGAATAGCGAGTAAAAATTTAATATATTTTTCATTTTGTTCTTTTATAGACAACTAAGAATGTTAAAAGAATTTTCTATTAAATTTATCAAATAAAAAATGCAAAAATTATTATTTTAAAAAAATATTTTTTGTTAAAAGATAAATTTTTATACTTTTTGTACAATCTATGTATGTGTATGTCTATGTATGTGTAAATATATACATATATACATACACACACAAAAGTTATAGAATCTTATGATAAAAAGGAGTAAAGAGCTATAAATCAATTTCAATCTATCATATTTTTGTTCTCAATTTATTTAAATTAAGAAAAAAATGATCTGATTGAATTACTATTACGCATTTTTATTGCACTTGTTCGTCTTAAACTGTATTTCATTCATCTTTGGTATAGTTTTCTGTATGTGATAAAAAGGCCCTTTGTTTATTTGACCAACTTTACTTGTTCATAGAAAAATTTGTTAATCTTATTTAATATAATAACAAATATTGCTTACAGAAAATTACCCAAAAAAATAAATAATATCTGCATATGTATATATACATATATATGTATATATTACTCTTTCAGTAGCATATTGCATGCATCTTTTATGGACTACTCTTTAATGCAATTAGACAATCCAACTCGTACTAAAAAAAATCTCACATCCAAGTATATCTCATTGTACAACGATTAAACTGATAGGAATTAGTCAACTCGCTACCTACATATTCTCTTTAAATTATATTTAAATATTTAACAATTAATTGCTACTAGGACTGATTTATGGTTAGATTGTCTAAATCCATGCATAATAATTGTTCAAATATATTAATTATAATTTACATATATATTCTGACAACTACAAGGTACTTAGTGATAAATATTATCTATGTATGTCATTATCAGAGTCAAGGAAAGATTAATTGAAAATGTTTTGCTGAGCCTTGGCAGATGAACATTATTACAATTATATTAAAGCTTGGTATGTGTAACAACATGCTTGTCAAAGCCGCCAATTTTCTATTTAGAATCATATCATCATATCTAACAAAGTTCTACGTAGTAATTTGAAGAAGAGCATGTAACATTACCAAGATTATAACTATTATATTTTAATTTCTGACTGGCATTTGCTTTTGCATACTCGGCAATATAAAAAATGAATTTCTTATATAGTTGTACTCTTAACACAGAGAGACAAAAGATTTTCTAATCGGTGGATCTTTAATAATTGATGGAAAATTTAACTAACTGTTATTCTACCGATATTTTAATATGTAACTATAAGCGAATTTAAAATGTAATTATAATTAACGGAAAATGATTTTTTATCTATAATTACCTATGATGCGCTATATATTGCTTCATTTACTGATCAAGTCCTTCAGAGTATATTAACTTATTACACGTAAATAAATCTAACGCGACGTCGAAAATTAAAATTAAATATTGGTATATGGAATTTAAAACTTCTATAAAAGATAAATATGTACAAATTATCTATAGTTTAAGTAAAACGTAATTATTGTGTATAACAATTTATTGAAGCGATTCCAATCGCAATGAACCTACGAAATAGAAAAAAAAGATCCATGCTCGAAAATTAAATCTTCTGTTTCTATCCTATACGCGTAATAAAAGTGCAGGAACTAATTGCACACTAATTTTAATGATAAATAAACCTATTCCTTAACTAGTTCGTTCTGTTATCGTGGTTTTTGAACACTTTCTATTGTATCTTTTCGATTCAATTAAATTAGTAACGTCAAGAAATGGAGTGCTATTGTTGTTGTTGTAGTTGTTGCAATAATGGACACACTTCAACTAAAGGAGTTCCTAGAATTTCTTGACATACTTGATTCATGTCGGGTTCCATCATAAGTGAAGAAATCTGATCCTCCGTCAACATTTCCACGCTAATTTGTATACAATCAAATTAATGAGGGTAAAATGATTCATATGACAAGATATTTACCAAAGGATACGTACCTCGCTAAACTTTCACTATCGGATGTCTCTTCGTCTGCATTAAGATAGGTCATTGTCTTTTCTAATGGACTAGGAACTTTTTTCCCTTTTCCTTCTGTTTTCTCTGACTTTTCAGATTTCTCCTTATCTCTCTCTGCTATCTTTGGTTCATTGGAACGTCGATCCGTTAGGCTAGATATGTTCAACATCATCATACCATGACTGAGTAATTCTTTCACTCGTTCTCCAGTGCCAGCACTCCATAACATATCAAGAGATTGTCTTCTACTTGAGTTTGCTATAATAATTAATATAATTTGGTATTCATATTTACAGATACATTACATTTTTAGAAATGTATAGCCTAATGTATTTACCTGAACTGCCTGCACTAGCCTCACCACCAGCTGAACTTCTGGTTATCCAATTAGTTAAACTAGTATCGAGTTTGCTTTTACTTTTCACTGATGGACTCCTAGTTACTTCTGTTTTCTTTTCATTGCTTAAACTAACTTCGTTTCCTTTTGGCATAGCAGGCAATGACTTTTGAGTTATTAATTTCTTTCGACTAGATTCTTCACCAAATGACTGAATATTTGCACCATTGGTTGGTGGATTGTTACCTTCTGGACTTAAATCCATCGGTAGTGGTTTGTAAGGAATTTGATCCTCTTCGTCACAATATATTTCAGTATTATAGTACATTTCATCTGGAGAATTATTTAAACTAATTTCTGTCCACTCCTCTCCATTGGGTATAGTAGTATTAGTGTCCTTTGTATCTATTGGTGTTTGTATTTTCACTCTTTTTTCTATTGGAGAAAGAATATTCGACAAGTCTGACAGCCGTGAAGTTGAAGAGCTTGTTTGATTTATTGTTATGATATGTTTCGTGTCGGTTGTTGCGATGCTTTTTGGACGGTCTCGCTTTATATATTTGCGAGGTTCTGTCGATGAGAGGTTTAAGTTGTTTAGGCCCAAATATTCAGAAGAAGGTTCTCTATCGATCTGAATAAAGACATAAATAAATACATTAATAAAAATGATCTTATACATTTTATTGATATGATAAAATATAATTACCCTTGTAGGCATAGGACATTGTGTATTAGGACTCATCTTATCAGGAAGGCGCAAATATTCGTCGCTAGTGTAATCTGTACTATCAGGTGATCCAGTAACACTAGAATCAGTTGAAGTTGCTGCAGCAGGTTGTAGGGAAGTTGTGTCAATGTTATCTCTTGAAGATTTATCAAATTCATCTGCTCCATCATACTTTCTAGTCTGTAAGTAATGATCAGCAATAGTTTAGGCATTGTTTAACAACACTGCACTTTTACAAAGAAGTACAAAAGAATTATACCCTGTGAATTTCATCACTGATTTTCTCTAAGTTTCTTAGTGCTTCAGCATAAGTCATTTTAGCTTCACCCACTGAACTTTCTAATGCACTTACTCTTAACTTTTGTTCTTCAAGCATTTGATTAAAATGTGCTTTCATTTCATAATATGGCCTATGTGATAAGTCAATTAATAATTAATAGAGTCTGGAATATACATTGCATTTTAAAGAAGAGATTTTTATCTTTATGAAATGTATTTTTGAATTATATGCAATGAAATGAATCATAAGAAGCATATTTCGGTAAAGCAGAATTTTTATATTAAGATACTTATCTCTCAAATATTTCATAAAAATATAATTCGTGCATAAAGTGGTAGTTCAGAACATAGACTGTTAAAACGGGGTTTATCCATAGCAGACATATAAAATAAACATCGTGAAAAAAAATAAAAAAATAATGTCTATCCTACTTACAACATGAGCAAGTTGTGTCTGTAGGCGATACTGTTTATCAGAAGCAAGCTGCGACGTGCACCCATACTGCCAACATGAATATAAACCAAAAGACATAAATATTCTAATATCTATATAAAATTAACATAACACAGTAAAAATGATAATGAACATAAATCATTAAATAGTAGTATGGGTCGAAAGTAAATAAGAATATTAAAAATTATGGGGCAGGAAAACATTATTATCAAACTATTAGATTCTAAAATCGAAATATGTATTAAATAATTAAATGCAATACATTCCATGCATCATTAAATGAACTAGAAAATCATTCAATATCACTAGCTAAGATATAACAAAGGTGCATTAGGTACACACCTAGACTTAGCAATTGCGCGTTTTAGTTCACTTTGCAAGCTTTGCACCTCATGTTCTGCTTTATGATATAGAGCAGTAGTGTGTCTGTGTTCTGCTTCTGACAAAGCTCTTTCATGTTCAGATTCATTAACCCTGGCAGTTGCATGATTTAACATTTCCTATACAAATTATTAGCATTACAAACTTTGAGTCAATAACTTGATTCAAATATTATGAAAATTACCTGCCAAGCATGGTCAAAACATCTTCCTTCTGTTCTTAACCCTTCTTCAGCTAAGTAAACCATCTCTTTTGCTGCTGCATGCTGACTATTAGCTCTTTCAAATCTAATTGCAGCCTTTTGGGTTTCATGTAAAGCCTTGAAGTATAAATTAAATTAGGAATTGTGTAATTGAAAATATAATACTGCAACTATATTGATTGAAAATATTTCTTACTTCTTTTGCTCTAAATCTGGCATCATAATATGGTCTAGATTTTTCAATGCAAGCACCAAGTTTCTTAGCTAAGCTATCAATTTTTAACGTTGACTCACAAAGTAATTCTCTAAAAGTTGCTCTTGCTTCCTAGAAACAAAAATCTATTTAATGACCAATGATTGAAACATAGTTCATGTTTTTGAGCATCTTAATTCATTTTGATAAATTAGATAGACATGAAATTTCAAGTCATATAGTGTTTCTTTACGCCATGTTATAAATGACTATAAGATGATCTTTGAAGCCATTATCCATTTACTCGTACGCTTTATAGCAATCACCTCAATGAAATGTAATCACAACCAGTTTCAAAACTTACTACTAATTTGGTCCCCCAAGAAGGGATACATTTATTTTAATTCATTGCAATCAAAAATTACTAGAACAAAGAAATGTTGAATTTGTAAGGATAGTTTATTATACTTACATCCAAATCAACTTCAAGCTTGTTGATGTCATCCGTAGCAGTATTCAATCTTTCAAGTTCAATCTAAAATGATAATCCTTTATGAAAAAACTAACTGTAATATTAATAAAGAACTTAAACAAAAATTATTATGTAAAGAAATTGTTCTATATAACAAAATATCATTCATTTAATAACATAATATTTATTATTTTACAGATTAACAAAAGGGATTAATTTAGAACTACTACAGCAAATGAATAATAAAAAAAAATGGGACTGAAAAATAATATTGAGTATTTTATGAAGTACATATAATAAAAATGAAGTACATTTACGAAAGAATTACATTTTTTCGTAATAAATTGGAAAGAAAAGAATATAAATGATGAAGATCCATTTTTATTCGACACCAAATGTAATTATGCGTTTTATTTGAAGCAATGTGGAAATGTCAATATCGCAAGTAGCTAGGCTTGAAAGTCTATAAATTATTCTCCGAAGAACGCATTAGTTTACCTGCACTCTAGGATCCACAGCATCGTCAATACGATCAGAATCATCGGCACTTTCTTTCTGCACACGTCCACTCATAATTAAAGGCAGAACTGAATTTTATTTACAATTTTTCATACCACCTGTATCGTCTGCTACATATCAGGTGGCCATGTTGAATGTTAGAGCAACTAACAGTACCGTCCACGTTAAAACGGTCAAGGGCACTTGTAAACTATCTACTTTTTTCTTATTATAAGGTACGATGAAAGTATTATAATGTTCTATAAGAAATTGTAAACCTATTCATCTAATATTTTATGTAGCAAACGATGGTATATATGCTTGTAAAACTTCATGCAACGAAGGAATTACATTCTTCAATATCATTCTTCGATGCAAGAAAATATAATAGAAAGTACAAACAAAAATAACTATGAGCATTTGGATTATACTTTAAGACAGAGGTATATTTTATATATAATTTATTTTTAGAATTGCACACTAGGTTTCCTTAACCAAATTTGACTATCTCAAATATGCCGCCATACGACGATTAAACATGGCTACCCAAGTAATTGTATATGGCGGCGAATGTATGTTTCACTAATAGAGGGAGCTGTCTACTCGCTAGGCCCGCCTGATCTCTCAAACAAATTTTTCTCATTCGCATTGGTCGGTTCTGTGTTGTCGGAACAGGTGGATTACATCCAGGGAAAGCGGAGGACGGTGTAGAAACGTCAATCGCCGATTCGTACGATAATTCATCATTGTCGGTGAGTGAAAACATTCAATTACACTACTATTTCGCGTCCTAAAAAGTGTCTGTGTCTTTTTAATTGTCTCATTGTGTCGTACCGGTATTTACGAAATGACAAAAAAGGAAAAGAATAAAGTTTTTTAAACCAGAGGCACGAGACTTTCTATTTCGGCATTTTTACGCTGTACGAGAGAATACGAGCGGAATAGCGAAAGGCAATAGATAGACGAGGATAGATCAAGAACACAGGCAAACGTGAAGGTCTGTTTGTGATCTAGACAACGCTGGCAAATGCAACGTTCCTTTAACAGAAAGGCGATCATAGATTGTACATATTTCTGGTGAAAACATTTTTCCTCTTCGCGCTTTCTGTTTTTCACGTGACTCGCGGTGTTTAAGATTTCAAACTCCATCAATTCGCGCTTCTTTGCCTTGTGTGTTATAGGTATTGTTCTGCGTTTCTTCTTTCAACGATGCTTTTTTTATTACTTATCTTTAATTCTTTTCCTTTTTCTTGCAGTGTTAAATATCAAACATAAGTGACAATTTCTTGGGAAAGTAAATAAGTTACAGGAATATACTGTTGAAATTCTATTTTATTCGTCAAATCGTAAATTATAGACTACAGAATTGCACAGACTTCAAAATATCGATAATTTAAAATTGTAAACACTGGAAACGGTTTTAACGGATAAATCAAACTTCCGATGTCACGTAATGAATTAACTCAAGGACACAATGGGAACGGTGCCCTGTGGATACTACGAAACGTCATAAAGGTCTCATAGTTCGTTCTACCGTAGCCGTATCACAGTTAACTTGTTTTGTATTCGTACAACGAAAATGTATCTGATGTCACGACAAATGCACGATACATACGTACAAGTTTCCTTTTCGTCGACATTGATTCGATGAAGCGGTGCCATTGCTGGTAGCGAGGGAAATCGTTTACTGTACTTATCGTTTAATAAATTTATGCATATTGCCGGGTACAGATAACTTTTCGTATCACACGAACGCCCACTGCCAACTTCTTCAAGTCACCATTGTTTTTCAACATCATTCAATTTTCCTATGCTTACAGTCAGTTCTGTTACTGATTTTCGTAGCTTCAACAGGAATTTAATTCCTTGATCAATATAGAGTCAGCAAAACAATCGATCAAATTTAACAGATTTTTAAAACATCACCCGGTATATACGTGAAAAAATTTGAGCTGCGTTTCGAAGAATAAATCAGTGAATGAGACTCGTACCTGTCGTCCCAGAGACTTCCTTTCGGAACATTATTTTCTTTATGATACCTTTTTCTTTATATACTTCACTGCATTTTATTCTTGTCTGCATTTTTGCGTTAATAAGTCAAAAGTATTTGGTCGTAACGTACATAGCGGAACGAGTTCTTTCTTTTTTTATTATTAAGTAATATCTGTCTGGAACGATTAAATCAAGTGGCTATTAAATAGTATCTTTCTTTAAATATTTATATGTATACGGCTGAAATTGTCATTAGAGATAATAATCGGCCAACAGCAGTAATCGGGGAACATGTAACTAATGTAGTCGCACTTACGTAAAAGGATTTACAAGTATACATACGCTGGTAGTTTTCAGCTATGCGATTACTGTGCTTTTCGTAATTCTGTTACCTATGCTTTACGAAACCACACTTATCTCTCGATGAATCGAAAAAAATTGTGGCCATAACGTCCAGTATCACGGTGGTAATCTTTCACGAAAGCAGAAAGAAAAACGTCATTGCGAGGTGGAACAAGTAATCGAAGGTGATTGCACTTTTAACAATTTATTTTTCCTTTGGTAAGAACACAGATCCCTAAAGTAAAGTAGAAAAAGCTTCTTTGGTACTCTATCTGAAAACTCGCCGTACTTTCCAACTTTATAATATTCTAACAAAATTTGTTGTTTTATATAGGAAAGAGTAAAACGAATCTCGAATCTACGTTTAGATTCCCATTGGACTTTTCATTCTTCACGAGTTTCTAATGCATCTACGACGAAGTTAACGGTTCGAATGGAGAAGGGACTTTATGAAGATTCCATAAAAAAACATTGGACCATAAAGACAAGGTGATTAGCTAGAAATCTTTGACAACCCTCGACAATATAGACTAGTTACGGCACTGTGAGAAAGTCACGGGGCAAGAGAGCCGACGTCGTTGTCGTTTTCGTTTCGCTTTGTCTCCGTGTTCTACGTAACCACGAGTCGTGTTGACGTGCACGCTTGTGTACAGATAACCGTATAATATTTCTATGTAAAATACACTCTAATTATATCTCATTGATCCATAGTGGATCTTCCATCGAAGGTGGACAGAGTGATGCTCCTTTTCAGGAATCTTCTCCTCAGAACAAGGATAATTATTCACGAGAAACTCGTTAATGATCTCCCATCCGGAAATCGTCGAGTCTTATTTTAATAATAAGTAGCTAATTACATTGTGTCCCATGAGACGCATCTTGTCGATGAATAATTATGCACACATGAATACTGCAGCCTAAGGAACGTGTCTTGTATAACGATATCACGGAAATGATTCCTGGATGCAACACGTGGCTAATCCTATACTATCGGTTAGAACTATAAAAAGCATTTTGTGGATTTTCGATCCTCGTATATGAAGCTCTTCCAAGATGTAAAGATCCCATTTTTTCTTATTTTAGAACGGAGAATCTTCTTCCGCATTTTCTTACGGCTTTTGCAAAACACTTGTCAATGACCTGTCACGAGGCACAATGTTAGCGCACCAAAAATGGTGGACAGAATGGTAGCTGGCGGTCAAGAGCACGGTCGAAGGAACCAACTGATTATGTACATGCATGGTATATGGGAAGAGCG